CCATCCTGCGGAGCGCCAGCAGGTGGGGTGCGGAGCCCGGCCCGCGCCGGGCGCCCAGGGGAGCTCTGCTCGCCTTGCACCTTGCTTGGGCTTCATGTTGCAAGATGTACTAATAATAAGACGGCAGAATTCCGTTATTTTTCCTTAAGGGGCTTACAGGATATTTTTCTATGACCTAATCTGCAGGCAGAGTGCCTATTCCTTAAATTTTAGCTTATAGACAGTAGTGGTTCTAAAACTTCTTGAGACTTCACATGGCTGTTAGGGATTAGTCAGAGGGGTGTCTTTAGGGCAGCTGAGCAATTTCTGCCAATCTCCCTTAAGGCAGATTTGGAATATGTTATAGAATAAATTTAGTCCCTGAATAAAATAGAGAATCACATATCCCATCTGGGAGGCTTAATTTCTGATCGTAACTACATAAATCAACAGAAAGCATCTCTCACAAGAATATTTTCAGACCCAGACGGTGATTGAGTTACGAATGCATTTTTTGTGTCATTGTGAAATGGAGGACAGGATAGAATACAATCAGAAGATTGAAATGAAGCTCTTGGATATAGATCCTCATCCATTATATCAGCATCTTTCACTGGGCTTTAGTTTCACTAAATTCAGCAGTCTGGATTAGTTGGTTTCAGCAGAACAGTCTTAAAATAGCAAGGAGTCTGAATCTATCTTTTAAAAGTATATGCAATGGGTAGTCTTTGAAGGCCATACCATACCTGTCTCCAACAAAGAACTTCCGATTGCTTGAATAATAACACAGATAATGTGGCTGTTTCAGTAAACTGAAAGCTTGAGAGGGCAAAATCTGCCCTTCCTTCAGAGCAGAATGGGGGTTGGAACTAGGTGATCTTTAAGGTCCCTTCCAACCCAATTCAATGATTCTGTGATTGTATGCCTTGAATCTAGTAGGAATTGAAAGCAAACGTAAGTATTAGGAGAAGTCCACGTGTAGTTCAGAAAAGGTCACTGCTAACTAATTATTCCTAATTTTTGAGAAGCAAGGAAATTCTCTCTCTCATTTCCCCCATCAGTTTTCTTTTCTGAATAGGAAAGAACTAAAATCATCTGAACAAGCTAATAAAGTCATCCAGGAAGTTGAGCTCATTTCCACTATTAGAATAAATGCTGTACCTACAAAAGAGGTGAGTTCATAGGAAGCTGATGGCAAGCTCCTTTCCCCTAAATGTTCAAAGCTTTGTCTTTTTCTAAAAAAGCACAAAAGAAGTGACGTCGTAGTGGTTAAATCAAAACCTTGATCATTTACCCCTAAAATACTTTTAGCAGATCAGAAATGTTGGGAGTCAAGCCTGCTGGCTTCTGTCTGCTCTCTGCTTGCCTATGGCCACAGGAAGATCCTTTAAAGGATGTGAGTCTAAGCAGTGGATCTTTTAATTGCATAAGTTAGTTTGATGCTTGGGTATAGGATGATTTCCATATCATATTGCTTAGAAAGCTGTTGATATGTGGAATGAATATTGTAATAAAGCAGTAATACTTGTCACTAGATATCTGTTTGGAAGCGTAATGAGATTTTATCTTGTATTCTTCCCAGTAACTAGCAGAGGTTTTGTTCTTTAAAAGTTCTTGGCTCAGTTTTGCATCTTGTCAAGTCAGGTGGATTTTGCCATGTGAGGTAGATACAGGAGCACAAAGGAGAATATGAGCTCAAAAGCAGATGGGAATAAGTCACAGGCACTACATTCAGACTGGGAGCATAGTGCAGATCTCCTTAAGTTTTTGACTTAGCCTGTCGTATACCCAAGTGATCATGAAGAAAATGTGTGTTTGCACACATACATCCCACCCCAAAGATCCACAGATCAGACACAGGGTTTATGTACATGTACATCTTTGGTAGCAGTCACGTAAAAAATCAATGGTAAGCTGCAATTCTTTACCTATAAAAGCAAAAGGATGGCACAATTTAAAACCAGTAAGAGACAGCAATTTTTCAAGTGCGTGCACCAAGTGGAGTGGAAAATGTTCCTACCCTCTTTCTCTGTATTCGTGTCAGAGTTCTGCATTTCTGCTTACATTTCCTATCGTGCAAGTTTCTTGTAGAGCTCCAGCGATTCCCTCGGCCAGCTGAGTCTGTTCTGAGACTGTAATGCATTATACCACTTCTGTATGGCAGGAAAGGGAACTTCCTCTTCAGAGCTACGTCTTACTAAGGAAGGAGGATTTTCTGATGGGCGGAGTTTTCCCTCCAGCAGGCTAGATAAAGGCTTGTGGGATTTACAGACCTCTCAGACTGCAAGCAGCATGAACTGCAGCCTGCCAGACAGGGTGCTGCTCAGCTCCGGGATGGCTGGGCAGCAGGGCAGCCTGTGCCTTCAGCCTCTTTGGGACTTTGTCACAGCCAACGAGCCGTTGATCAAGTCACCGTTTTTTCCAGTGCTGTTCTCTTTTACAGCATACATGGCTTTTTGTCTTCCATATATTGCACTGGACTTTTTAAGCACTAGACTACCAAACTTGAGAAAATACAAAATACAGCCGCAGAACTATCCAACTCTTGGAATGATGGTGCCTTGCATTATTCAAAGTGCATATCACCATGTTGTTCTGATCTTTCCCGTGACGTTTCTCCACTGGTACTGGAGACCAATGAATCTACCAGTGACAGCTCCAGAGCTGCCTGAGGTTCTGCTGGAAGTAGGAGTTTGTCTGCTTCTATTTGATTTTGAGTACTTTCTGTGGCATTTGCTTCATCACAAGGTGCCTTGGCTCTACAAGACTTTCCACAAGGTGCATCACAAGCATGTGTCAACGTTTGCTCTGACTACACAGTATTCCAGTGTATGGGAACTGCTCTCACTGGGATTTTTTGCTGCAATCAACCCAATGCTCCTTGGATGCCATCCTCTGACAGAAATTATTTTCTTCCTTGTAAATATCTGGTTGTCAGTGGAAGACCATTCAGGATACGACCTTCCGTGGTCAACTCACCGACTTGTGCCTTTTGGTTTGTATGGAGGAGCACCACATCATGATCTCCATCATCTGAAATTCAAATCGAACTATGCTCCTTACTTCACCCACTGGGACAAACTCCTTGGGACATTCACAGAGTCACATTCTAATTAAGGACATTTGCCTGTGGACAAACTCTTATGTTTTTATAGACTAAACTGGGATATTAATTTTTCAGAGACATAGAGAAGATTGTATATTTGAAGCTGCTTATAAAATCAATAGTTATTTATAACAAATCATCTTAATATATGTGTATTTGTATGTATACTTGGAACTGCCTGTGTTCAATGACTGCAAATGGGAGGGTAAATACCTTTTGCTTAAATTTGTTTGAGTCAAAGGTGTAAGGGAAACATTAAGAGACATTCTCTCTTCTTTCCTTCTATCCAGCTTTCATAAAGCATGTATTGTAATGAAGTTTTATACCTATGCCATAACAATTATCTTACTGTTGTAGGATGATTGAGGTTGTAAACAGAAAAGGTACACATAATGTATTCTGTAGAGTTTATTCTTCCAGGACATACTATTGCACAATGATGTTATAAAATATTGCTGCCAGGCAAAGTTAGGTAATTGCTGCAGTAATTTTGATATTTATATTTTAAACATTGATGTACTGTCTGTTTTTAATAAAAAATAAGTATGGTCATTCTTTTAAAAGTATTTTGTTTCACTTTATTCATCCCTCTATTCATATTAGGAACAAGTATGGTTCCTTTTGCATAGGTGTCATTTATTTGAGTTTCAGGTTTTTTTTCGTTTTTGTGCTACTTCAAAAGTGAACCATTTACTTTTTGTCCAGAATCATGTGCTATTTTTAAATAGTTTTCAAGGAATATAAACTGGATTCCTATAAAACAGATGATTCAGAGGAATAGAATCAAACTTTTCAGGACCCTGAACCATAGAACAAAATGGCTACATGTTGCTGGAGAAACAGCTATATATGTAAAATCACTATGTAGTCTCACAGAAGCCAGGCTGAAAAAAATAAGCATGAAGAGATAAGCAAGACTTCAATGTCATACTCAGCAGAGATCCACATGGACTTCTTATGTCCACTACATAATATTTTAATGCCTGTACTCCTGTATCCTGTATCACTAATAAACTGCTAAGGACAGTGATGAGAACAGAGAAAGTGCAAATAATGTAGAGAGTGTGTAACGAACACTTATGCATCATTATCCAAAAGTGTCTTTGTCATTATGTTACATCTAGAGGGCTGTGACCCTTAAAGGGGCTGTTTGTCCAGGAGAAGAGAGAACCCTTAGTATTTCCAGCAGTGTGAACTTATAAAGGGAACAGCACTTTTGGACACTGCATCTTTTTGACAACAGGAAGTAATTTTCATAAACATCTTCATAAACAGTATGAAATGCTGAAGTCTTAATACTTACCTACTCCCTCTGTTCTCTGCATATCACAGAGGAGAAACCATTCTTTTCAGTGGTAAGAACGTGATACATCCTGAGAGCAAAAACTAAGGCTAAAAGAATACAAAACTGGATTTTTTGGCATACATCTATTCAGTTGAAAGAAAGAATTCCCAATCTTTCTGATTATTATAGTCTTAAGTTTTTTTGGGTGTGCTACAAAGAGAAGGAAGTGTTTTTGTTGTTGTGGTGGTGGTGGTAGTGGTGGTTTTTAAATTTTTTTTTTTCCCTGTCAAATGCAGGAGTCAAAGTTTGTGATTTCTTTGAAGTCTTTAGCCATTTTGAGGTATCCCAAAGTTACCCTCTGAGCTCTAGAAATCCTATTTAATTCAGCTTGGCAAATACTGATATCTGATGGGGGTGCTCTGTGGTTTCGATGAGTTATACCTTACACTATAAGGGTGTATTGTAACCATGCACTAGAACAGCCTCTTCCTTGTACCACTGGCTCTCTAAGGAAGCAGGGTTAAGGCTGACTGGTACTTGGCTATGTTGCTATAAGAAGCCTAGGAGTGAATCCCACAAGAGAGGTTGTAGCTGAACCCACAGGGATTATTCTGCTTTGCTGTGTGAAGCTTTACTACTGGAGAAAAGAGTCCTAGTCAGCTGCAGGCAAAACCATGCTTGCTTTTGTCAGGTCAATGAGATGGTCTCATCTGGCACTGACAGCATGGCATAACAGTGGTGAGGGTCATCAAGGTGACAACAGGAGGAAGCCATGTACCTGCCTAGAATTCTCTCCCTCACATCCCACGGTGTTCGCATGACTTCAGACACACACCAAGAATGCATTTCCTCAAATATGGAATTTCCCCCAGGTTATATCTGTACTGAACCTCCTACCGATCTCACCTGTCATCTCAGTTTAGAGAGACGTTATTTCATGGACTTAGAATACTGAAAAACAAAAGAAAAAATCTAACCAAACAACAACAACAAAAAAGCTGTCAAATGAAAATTTGACTAGTACATGTCTGGAATGGCTTATCTGAATTCCATTCCAGAAATATCTGTATTTCACCAGCATTACATTATCCTAGCATACCTTGTCCCTGTTTCTCCAGTGCTTTGAAGGTGATTTAGGCTTAAACCATGAGGGATTGAAAACATTTGCATGTTGTGTGTACTTCAGAGCACTTTCTGTAACTGTGCACTATAATATAGCTTGAGGTATATGTATGAGAAAAACTCATGAACAGAAGGCCCAGACAAATACATAACTTCAGGCCTTTACAGTTCAATGAAAAGCAAAATACAGACAAAAGAGTATACCAAAGTTAAAGCAAATAGTTGGTTTTTTCCTGTTTTCATTGAAAGTTCAGCATATACTGTACCACTGAGCGTGAGAGCACAGCGAGTTCTGTGTATTGACAGTGCTGAGATTTTAAAAGAGGATTTTACAGACATTACTTCCTATATTTGCATTTCCCCATGATCTTTACCACAAGCATTTACCAGACAAATGGAATAGCATGGTACTTTGTTGTAAGAGTTGATGTCAGAAACCCAAACCAAACTTTCTCTTCTGTTCCAAAATTCTCTGAGCTTCCTTCCTCATTATAATGTGACATAATGCACCGCACAGACTTCCTATCTAATCTGTTGAAAGCTAATCTGTTTTCATTTATGAGTAAATAAAGGATGTTTGCACAGACCCTTGAAGCTATAAAACAAGATATTTGGTGCTACTATTGTACACTGTATATCTTTAAAAATCCTAATTCAATAAATGTCAAAGGAGTAAGATTTTATGCATTTCTCTTTGTAACTGTTATCTTATTTCTTAGGCAGTGGTTAAATATTGAACTCTGTCTGATCTTATGAAATGCAGGAGTTCCAAAATTCTCACTGGCAATTTAGCACTATACTTCTCTTGAAAATTCAGCCGAGTCTTTCAAATGATACCCAGTTTGTCAATTTGAGGTCACAGTATACAACACTGCAAAGGGACAGATTTTTGCTTAGTGGAGGAATTCTCAGCAGTGATGCAAAATGTGCTCCTCGGGTGCTTTGAAGAGTCCGTATGAAGTTTAGACCCATGCTGAGTCAATATTCACTAACAGAAAAGGCTTTGTCTTTATTCATGTTAATCAAATGTAAGTACTTTACAGGGGGAAACCAACAAAGTCTACAGTCTACAGCTCTGATTTTTTTTGTGATTTGAAAAATAGTCTATGTCATTGCGAGATTTAGTGACCTGCTTAATTTAGTGTGGTATCTGGGTTAAATGAAAAACTAGTATTTCTTTGGGCTATCTGACTATGCTATCTCTAAATTAGTTTTGAAGCAACTTGTAATGACAGACCACGTAATTGTCATCTGTTGCCCCTCAATAGCTTCCACTATTACCTGCCCACAGACATGCAACCCTTTTTGAACCAGTTATGGTTCTGTATCTGAAAAAAACACCAACCATCTTGGACTCTTTCAAGCTACAAAACTTCTGTGGATTTAATCCTAGATTACCTTGGTTGGCAGGCTGACCAGCGTGAGCCTACTATCACATTTGTATGTACACTCTAAGACCCTGGCTTTGTGTGCTGGGCTTGGTTGATGTGCCAGCTTTCTCAGATATTTAGTCTGGTCCTGCATTGCTCGGTACAATCTAACCTGAAATGTTTTTGTAGCACAGTCTGGAGTTGTGTTTGCAGTATGTTTTTCTCATAAAAACAAATGCCAAACAATTGTTTTCCAAAACTTAAATATGTTTCCAATTTATGGAAATGTTAAGTTCTTAGGACATAGAAAAAAAAAAAAACTACACACCCCTCAAAACCAACCAACTCAAGCATTCCAGACTTTAAAGGGAACAGAGCTAATACAGAGGGGCTTTTAGCTGTGGAAAATTATGTTTTTTTTTTTTTTAAATCCTTCTTTTCAAACTTTCTTCTTGTTTTTATAAAGAAGATTCAAAAAGCTTACTAATCACCTTGTCCACTGAACTGTAATGATTGCCGTGATCAAGACTGTAGATGTGGACAGGAGGAGGAAGAGAGAAAGGAGAAAGGGAAAGGAATCTGAGGTGTCTGCAGGCGCTTCCGTCACTGTCCCTCAGTGCAGCACACACTACCTGTCACGTATGGATGGTGCTGCTCCGATATACACTTCCCACTGTGGCACAGATGATTTCAGCCCTCAGGTTCTTACTGCTGAAGCAATACAGACTCCATCTTAATACACAGCATTTCCTTTTTGTTTTCTAGTTCTTTCTGGAAATTCCCACAGCAGCAAAACACGGTGACCTCCAAGAGGGAATTCCACCTTCAGTCAGCATAAATGCAAACATACCTCTGTGTCATCAGGTATAAGATGAAATGAAAAAAAATAAATCTCCAGGCACGTGGGCTGGAGCACCTCTTCCATGCTTAGTTTTGAGATAACAGGTTTTGTGTGTGGGAAACAAAAAAGCTAACAAACCGAGCTGGATCGTTAGTAGGCCAGGCAGGCAGACACGTGACTACTTTGGTTTCAGTCTGTTGAGGAAAACTTCATTCTACAGACACGTGATTTGGAGAGGGGTGGAAGGATGTGTTATCTATACTTTCAGGGAGAGATTAGATGGCAGGCAGAGCTTACAGAAAGAGCAAATGCCTACTGTCTGCCTTCTCTGTTGTTTTGTTTTTGTTTTTTTTTTTTTCCACCCCCCCAGGGATCTTCTCTATTGGTATTCCCTTTTCCTGATAAGCCCCAAACACTTCCCTAGAGCAGCTGCTGACAGCCTCCCCTACAAAAACTGGCTGAGTACTGCCAGCTGCTTTGCCAGATTGCAGTGATTTTTCACTTAGGCAGTCAGATGATCACTCCCTTGTGCCTGCATCAGTTGAGGAACCCATAAAATGTTGTATGCATACGTCCTGCTGCAAA